CAATCCCCGAAGTACTTTTTTTATTGCAGATTCGGGGTCCTCTAGTGCAGCGCAGCACAACCCCACCTTCGGGGGAAAAAAAAGAAAATTCCTTGCTATGTTTTTGCGACGCCCGGTTCAGCCGGGCGGACCCCCCCGGGCCCAACCGGCCGGGGGCCGGCCCAGCCTAGGAAATTCCTGTGGAGAAGAACGTTGACTCCTTGCAATTCAGGAACCTTCTCGAAGCCCTATGGGGTTCAATTGTATCTGACCAGCAAAGAGACCAGATACGTTGCCAGCAAATAGACCAAATATGTAGCAAAACCCTGTGGTAAGTACAAATGATATGGGTCAGATACAACAATGCCAAACAGGGGCAATTTGCAGGTGCAATAAATGGGCAGGAGTGGGCGGTTATGTGCGTGCCAGAAAAGAAATGTGCAATTACCGAGAGGAGAGTAAACGATACAAGGGAACTCCAAAAGACATCACATATAAACATGATAGCATGCAAGACAGGCCGCATATGAGTAATGCGAACAGGTTGATATCACGGAGGGTGACACAACCGATTGACTGGATGATCAGAGTCCTCTGCCGGATAATATCACGGGATGGGGAAACACAGTCCGCAGGCACAGTGGCTAAGAGAGGCAAGAAATACGGCATTGTGTAGGCGAGCAGCGCCAGCAGATCTACCGTCTCCACCCGAATAGAACGCCCGGTCATTATAGCCGTATCTGGGGCAGGTTTCTGTCTAGACGCAGCGATAATGACCGGGGGTTCTATTCGGGTGAAGACGGTAGTGTTCCAACAATAGTGACTCTTGCCCTGAGCACTCCGTGAGAACCTTGCTGGCCAGAGCGCTGCTTCATGTAGCAGAACTTTTTTGAAACGCCGATTTCAAAGGTTGTCGTCATCTTTTTCCAACTGTTACTAGTCCAAACCTTGTTTATTGTCGAACGTTGGGGACTGCACTGTTCACAATCTTCTCTGGTAAAGGGGACACCAGGTGAGAATCCTGAGTAGTCTCACTCGTCTAGTAGTATCGGCAGGTGCAATACGTGTGTTTTAGCAAGCCGGTCGTTAACACCATCTCTGTTGGGTTTCAGGTACATTTTTGTTGTGCCGCATGTCGTCTCTTTGCTTCATACGGGGTCAGGGCCCTGTGATGAAGAGCTCAAATAGGAGGATTGGTACGGGGTCTCAGGAACCTGGCAGACCCCGCGAGCAGGTTGGTGCCACCACCACTGGACCCCGGTTAATTAAAAAGAGGATTGTCCAATTTGTCCTTCACAAAAAATAAAAATAAAACAGAAATACTTCAAATAGGAATTTTACTATTATTTTAGAGTCAGAGAACAAACCTGCTGACCGCCAGCTACCTGCAAAAACAAAGTAGAAACCAAACCGCCCCTAGCAAAACCCTTAAACCGCTAGTACAAGGGCCCAGCCTTGCAGAAAGTTTTTTGTCGCCACAAGCAAAACTCGGAGGTGCCGCGCGGCCAGGCCCGCCGTTGGAAAAAAAAACGGCGGCCTCCGAAGTGGTGTGGGTTTCATGCTGACACCCGCGGGCCGATATGTGGCGTACTGGTGGTTTAAGTCTCACACATAAAGGCTCATTTCGACCTTGGATCAGTATACCATAGAGTAGGCACAAACTGCTAAAGAAAAGAATCCAGAGCTCTCCTGCTACAGATGGTGCTTCCCCGATTGCAGGACACACGGCGCCATGCTACAGCTGAGCTGATGTCAGCTAACGCAAGGCAGTGTACCATGAGTGATGCACTTCTGGCTGGCCTCAGATTGTGACTCTGCCATCATCCGATCACTCGGGCCCACTGCGGATTGAGCTAATGTAATGCAGGCAGTACCATCCGTGATGTAACTACTCCTGACAGGAATGCTTGTTGAAGCCAGATATCACAGATATGCCATGGCCATGGCTCATCTGCTCTGCCGCACTCGAGACCTGTAACAGCGGGATTGCCTGCTGAGAATGTCTAATTTTAGCACAAGTGGCGACGTGCTTACCCTCAAAGGGAATGCCCATTACAGCCAGATGCGCATGGCAATGGGAAAACAACTCTCCATGTATGTCTCCGTCGCTCTGCCTCACTCAGGGTCTGGAGCTGGTGAGTTGCCGCCTGAGAATGTCTAGTTTTCATCTGGCTGAGGTGTTATACATCACACAAGCTCTTTGCAATAATCCATGCCATATGTCTCGTGGAAAGACTGAGGGCCAACTCAGCCGCCCTCAGCCCATGCAGACGGGGGCAAAAAGGACCCCACACGAGGACTCAGGGCCTGGATGTGTGACAGTTGGCATTGGTCAACTGTCGTGACCCCAACAGTCAAAGTCCAAAGGTACCTAACCCAGGCCACTGGTCAAGCACAAACACTTGTTTGTATGCAGGTACCCAGACAGCATCAGTTCCAAGGGAGAAGTCTGCAACTGTACAATCCGGGCCCTCAGCTGAGAGTCAATCTGGACGACTGTGGGAAAAGCACCCGAGGCCAGACAGCCTCGACAGTTGCTACTTGAGGCTGGTCTCGAGTGAGTCAAGCATTCAGTCTTGATATGCTGCTTTGACGCTGGCTCGACTTTGACTAGACGCTGGCATTATGCTGGCTCGACGCTGGCTAGACCCTGGCTGTGCACTGGCGATGCGGACGACAGCACGAGGTAGAGGCAGCATGCTGGCACTTTCTGCATTGTGCGCCAGGCTTGCTGAGGTGGCATGCTGATGTGGTGCTACCTCTGGTCTACACTGCATGCTGATGTGGCGCTACCTCTGGTCTACATTGCATGCTGATGTGGCACTTACCTCTGGTCTACATTGCATGCTGACATGGCGCTACCTCTGGTCTACATTGCATGCTGATGTGGCGCTACCTCTGGTCTACATTGCATGCTGATGTGGTGCTACCTCTGGTCTACATTGCATGCTGATGTGGCGCTGCCTCTGGTTTACAGTGCATGCTGATGTGGCACTACCACTTGTCTACATTGCTGATGTGGTATATGCCACCTGTCTCGACCGCTGACGTGGCATTGTCCACGTTGTCTACATGAGGTGACTGGTTGCGAGGAGGAGGAAGATCGGGATCTGTGGATGTAGGAGATCGGGTACTCACCTGAAGTTGACGTCGTCACTGGAATCTGCTGTGCCTTCATGGTCTTCACGAGATAAAGTGCCACGTGGCACTAATGTGTGTGATCAGGTTTACTATACTTGTTATCATCTACTAGTTGTTGATGTGGAGAGGGAAGAAGCCCGGAAAAGGAGAGGGGTCTGATGGGATTATTATTGTGTGATTTTTCATCTTCTCCTCTCTCTGTTCCCTCCACTCTCTTCTTTTAATGGTAATGAGATACTGTTTGCGATATCACTTCACAATTTGGAGACTTTGATGCAGATAATGAGACTACTGATGTTTGACGACTTCTGAGTATCTGCCAGACTGGGTTCATTACATCTTCTTCCGGCTGGTTTTTTTTTTTTTTTTTTTTTTTTTAAGGATTGCAGGATTTTACTCATCTGCTTCCACTGGAGTTCAAACTCAGGTCTGTACTTCAACAGTTCAGTCGTGTATGTACCAACTGAGCTAGGCCAGCTGGTCTTCCGGAATTTTAGCTCGTCGGCCAAACCATAAATGGAGCCCTGTCAGCTGACTACGCCAAGAACCGCATACTAGAGACCTTCATTCCAGCCAGTCATTCGGTGCAGCTATACCGGCCAGCACATAGAATAAAATTCAATAAATTCTAGAAGTTACCCAAAACGCCCTGCTCACTGGTTTATCAACAATGTGCCAACTACTGCCAGTTCCAATTCATAGATTCTGAGGTTGAGGGTTCAAATCCCTTTTTTCAGTCGTCAGCTTCGAAGCCTTCCCAGGACTTATTTCCTAAAACTCCACCACGGGCAGCTCAATCCCCCCGGCAAAACCCTCAGCGTGATGCCCCACTGACTAGGACCTATTTCCAGAACCCAACAAAGGCCCGTGGAATCAGCCCTCCCAAGGCAAAAACATCAAGGTACCCTTGGAGTCAGAGAAGCCGCATAACACTCACTCTGTTACTCAATCAAGACGGCAAAGGAACATGGACACATGACAGATGGATAGAAGAACAACAGGAGCTGGAAGGACAAACAAAGCTGAGGAGCAGGGAATCAGATGTTGATAATGAGAGGTTGACAGAGGAGGGAGGCATGGACGAGAGAGTAGGACACAATCAAGGCGACGGGGAGGGGAGAAGAGAACAAGGCAAAAGGCGGATAAAAGACTAAGGAAAAGGATTCGACACCACGACTGAGGACGACACAAGAGCCACGAAATGGCCGAGGAGGAGGAGACGAAAGTGAGGACCCCCACGCCAAAAAAAGAGGAGAAGGTGAAAGGAGTAGCAACAGGACAGGGAGAACTTACAGAAGTGGAACTCTCCAAATCGTGGTGAAGCCAGGTGTCGCTTCAAGAGATGGATATTTTCCGCTGTCACCCTCACGAAGAAGACAGCCTTGAGATGTTTCATGTTTTCCGTCGATGGATGATCTATAAGCTCCACCAGGAAAACTTCCTTGTGCAGGATTTCAGATTGACTCAACGCAAGAGAGACCACGACCGTCTATACATAAATGATAAATGGACAAGAGAAATCAACACAAAAGGAAGATGCAAACAGTTGAGGAAACACAATGCCCCCCATCATTGAGCCCAAACACTGGAGAGCACGCATTTTCCAACTCCAACCCAAGCCAAAAAAGATGCCGCACACACAAAAAAACAACAACAGGAGCACCGGTGAGAAGCGCCACGTCTAAAATAACCACCGGTTAGTGGAAAGACAACAAAATTGATACGTAAATTGTTTTTTTCTTCATGGTTTTATCCAGTACTATACATGTTGTGGGGAAGAAGGCAGGGCGAGGTGGGGGGGGGTGGGAGGGGGAGGGGAAGTTTGAGGGAAAGATAGGGCCACATCCACATACAATCTGAAAAACGATTTGTGCTATGCAGCACTTCAATACAAACAACTTTTTTCACATGAATGCATATCCCACTATTTTCCAGTCGCATACATGCACCTACCTGTGATAACCCGTCCGAACACGGACTGAAACACACTGCTGATTTCTGAGTTTTGCTCATAGACTGAATGCCCTACTGAGTTCCCCGCCTGCTAAGTCTGTGTGTGTGTGTGCTTGCTGGACTGCATGTCTGTCTGAGTGCTGGTTGGTTTGCGTGTGTGACCATGCCTGTCTGAGTGCTGGTTGGTATGAGTGTGTGCATGTGTGGCCCGCCAGGGCACTTGTTCGTTCGTTGGGCCCTCAGGGCCGGTACTTACCTGTGGTCATGGCTTCAAAAGGTTGCAGCAGGGAAAAAGCACTCAAGTAGCGGGTAGGCCGTTACCGCACCCGGCAGGGGGGTAAATATGCAGCTACCAAAGGCCGAGCACAAGAAGACAAAAGTGGCATTTTTAGAGGCCAGTAGTGTAGGCTAGGTCTAGCGGGTACCAGTCTGAGTCTAGGGCCTGTAGGGGCAATATCAGAGTCTGTAATGATGTTCCCTCCAAAAGGAGGAAGAGGTACCGGTTGCTTGGGAAGGCCAGCGGCCTGGAAGTCACCCTCCAAGAGGCAAAGCAGGCCGCTATATCTTCCGGCCGGGCGGAAGACCCGGCCTCTTTTTCGGTGTGCAAGTTTGGCGACACACTGGTGGAGCGCTGGAGGGAGCAGCGCTGGGTTGGAGCTGCGCTGCTGGGGAGGAAGAAGAAGGACTAGAGGGAGGAAGAAGGAGGAAGGAAGGAGGAAGGGGGAGGAGCGCCAGGGGTACTTACCTGGCTATGGTGGCAGCCATCTTCATCACCTTGGTGGGCGCTGCTGCCAGGAGTCCCCAGCCGGGGGAGCTACACCAAGAAGCTTCAAGGCAAGGCTGGGCATGGCGGCCTGAGCTGGAGCAGCCATAGCTGCTCTGGGTTGTCCTTTGGACGTCGGTGCAAGGCCTAGTAGTCCGCCATAGCCTCGGCCTATGTGTGTGAAGAGTGGGGGAGGCAGCCATGGCTATGGTGGAC